GAAAATAGGACACAATTAAACGACGCACGTAATATATTTCCTGCATTTGAACCCCGGGCTTTCCGGTGCGATCATGCGTTTTTGCACCAGACTTGAAGTACCAAAGTCATTAACTGCATAAATTGTTGTTGCTTTACATCGTCATAAGACACCATAAATTTTGCACAAAATAAATGAACAATTTCCATTTAACGGTCGTTCTTTGAAAGTAACCTAGCTGTTCAGTGAGCAGTTTTCCTGCCAAAACTTTAAGTGGCCATACGTGAGAACCACGCATGCCAGAAAGCCGAATTTGAACTATTTAAGTTGTATTTGGAAGAAAACATTCCCCTAAAATTTCAGGGAACATTTCAGGTCCCCGAATTAGTAATTTTCCGGTCAAAACTTTCGCATGCCGGCAAGTGGGTACCCCACGTACCTGGGATGCTGAATTTGAAATATTTAAATTGCACGTGGACAAGAAACATCCCCCAAAATTTCAGCCTTTCAACTTTTCCAGTTACCGAGCTGACAGTTTTCATGCCAAATTTTCCATGTGCTCGTACGTGAGAACCACGCATACCTGGGAGCTGAATTTGAAATATTTAAGTTGTATTTGGGCAGGGAATATTCCTCCAAAATTTCAGCATTTTATCTTGTCTGGTTGCCAAGTTATTATTTTTCCGGCCAAAACTTCCACACGCCCTTACGATGAGTACCACGCATGCCTACAGGCTGAATTTGAAATTTTTAGTCCACACATTGAATATCCCTACGAAGTTTCAGTCCCTTACCCTGCCTGGTTCTCGAGATCGCTTTCCCGCCAAAAAATTTGCAAATTTTTTAAAACGTCCGTACGTGGCACCGAAGCGTCCGCGGGGGATAATATTAATGCGGCAAGGTCATGAATGGTATGGGTACATACTTCCAAAGTTTCAGCCTTCTAGCTTTTTTGATTCTCGAGTTGAAAGTGGGTGACAACGCGAACACACAGATACACACACATACACACAGCCTCTTTCCGATACGCGTTTTTGCAATCTGCATGTATGCAAAACGCATAATAACACACTGAATTCTTGAAACTGTTTGAAAAAATAGCTTTTATTATACAAAGGGTGTCAAGACAGCCCGATCACTCTTCAGGGATTCCATGTTATTATTAGTGTTGCTATGACACTTCCATACGCCGGGCTTTGGATCCTGGACTGCATATCTCCACATGGATTGCATATCTCCGGGCTTTGGATCCTGGATTGCATATCTCCACACTCATGTGGAGATATGCAATCCAGGATCCAAAGCCTATCTCCACATTCACTAACTAACGCGCAACGTCCACTAGTCATTGGCAGAGCGGGCAACATACCCGCCTATCGGATTTCACTTTCTCGTGTGGGCGTAATGATGTCCTGCACGCCGCGCATCTAATGGGAAGTCTGATTACTGATATGGTCATGAAGAGATTTGCTCCGTTATTTCCTCGTCACGGCTAGCGCTGTTTTCGTCTTTCCTGCCCACATTTTAAATATAAATTGTTAAATTAAAAGTAATTGTAAGGTGAAGTCTATCCGATTGGAGCAGCACCGAAATTATTTTTTGTGTGGAAGAAATACTTTCCCCCCGCATTTAGGCATAAATTCTAGCAGAAGCAGTGATTACCAGGAGTA